CGATGAGTTTCCATGGTTTGCAAATGCTAGTTATACAATAATCTATATTATAATCTCTGTTGAATTCTTTAGCTTCACAAAAGGATTTCTTTTCAAATAAGTTTATAACATAATCTTGAAAAATTTTATCAATTTCCGCAATAAGTTTTGGATACAGTGATTCAAAAAATGAGACTGCGTTTGTCGGAAGAAATAGTATTTCGAAATCTTTATCTTGCGTAATATTTTCCGAGAAAATGCGTTGCATGCGATCGTCAACAAGTAAAAGTACTTTGCCTGTAACATTTTTTTTTCTTGGTGATATTTCACATGTAACTTAAATAAATATTCGTACCAATATGCGAAATCTTTCGATTCTTCTATTGAGGCATTTTCTTGTAATTTATGAGGGACAAGCAATCTGCTCTCGCAATGTTCTGACATTGTTTGATTTTCATATTCATTTTCATCTTTTACTAAAATGGGTGGTAGTATATTATTACCAGTAACATTTGTACAAAATATAACAGTTAGAGGATTCTTCTTTAAATTTTCAATGTCAATTTGTTTTTATGCGACTTTTGTTTCGTCTAATAAGAAGAATCTTTGAATAAGACGTTTCCATATAACGTCTGTTTCAATCATATTATAAATATTCTCTGCATCAATATTTTCCTCCTCTAACTGCGGACAGAATAATTGGATAAACTTCTTCACATTAGATTGATTAGCCTTATCTCTTCAGATGACATTTTGTACAACCGCAGTCTTTTGAAACATATGCCGCAGTCTATAACGATTCTGAATTCTGAACAGCCAGCTTTCTCTTTGCATTTCTTTTGATAGTTTATCAAACTGATCTATAAGTATAAATATTTTTTCTGTAAGCATCGCGTATGAAATTGTATCTCCCGATTTTTTCCGCTCTAGCAGCCAATTCAATAGTTGTTCATCTAAATCTTTAACAGACTGATTAGTCTCATCAATTCTTTCGACGGGATTTTGCAAAATGATACAATTTATTAAAATCTTATGACATATTTTAAAGCTCTTTAGCCAGTATTTTTTTCCAATAGGTGTTAATGGTCCACCAAACTCCTTCATAAATTTCAGTGTTTCATCTATAAGCATCTTATCTGAAATTGCATTTTTTGATATTATCTGTTTTAGCAACCAATTAATTAATGCTATATCCACTTCTTTATGGGAAATATGAAACTCGGTCTCTAGTTGAATATTGCGACGCTTTATAAATTTGTCCAACCAGGTACAAAAACTTTTCGTGGGTGGTCCTTCAACATCATTTGTGAATTTCTTCGCTTGTTTCTTAAGTAGCTCATAGGTAGGTATGTCCCCCGATGTTTCCCGATCTTGATACCATTTAAACAATTGTTCGTTCAATTTATTATACTTGACAGCCTGGTTACGCTTTCTTTCCAGATTTATTCCTTGCCCCATTGGTACTTTCTGTTTTTTTATATTGTAAACAGTTCTCTCAGTAATTCCATAACGAGCAGCAATTTGAGATATTGAGATACCTTTTTTTAATTTCTGCTGAATTTCAATGCGCTGTTTTAGCGAAAGAAAGATCGTTTTCTTTCTCATTTTGTATTTGGATGACAAGTTTTTTTATATTTAAAAATATTATAATACAAAACTCTTTGTTTCACTTTACTGACTTCACAGAAAGACTCTGAAAACTTTTGGTTACACGATGCGAAGCGTTGAATATTATGCTAGTAATTGAAAGTTGATTAGTCGTTCTAGAGAAGAATTTTTCAAACGAACGTAAATAAAAACATTCTTTGAAAGTCATTTGTCAAATAACAATAATGTTTTCGCATTTTCGATGTACAGTGTTTACGTACAGTGATATCTGCTAAGACATTAATGTCTACGATTTACAATAAGATGATATATAAGATGACAAATAAAGTTATTGGTATAATACAATTGGTCACACATATACATATACACAAGCTGAAAAATTTTTTATTAAAATAAAAATTAGAGTTAATTTTGTTAAATAAATTCTAGTAGTGACATTTTACATTTAAAATTACAACTTTAATTGTAACGTAAATTTTATATAAGATTTAGCAAAAAGAATGGCTTTAAATCTATAAAAAAAGATGGTTACTTTTTCATATTTTTGACTGCATGTATCAAATCTAAATATGAAACTTAATAAAGTTCGAATCACGTTAGCAGTGTAAAGATATAGCGAGCATTATTCTAATTCACATTCACTTCTATACCAATAATTCGTGTGTATCTTTTTTTTGTCTTTGTGTATCTTGTTTTTGTCTTAATTAAATAAGAATAACTCCGTCAGAATTTCCTAAAATTTCTGTACAATATGGAGCATAAAAGCAAGATGCACGGGATGCGGTAAAAAAAAAATCAATGTATTTCGGCTTTTGTACATGCGACATGCATGCAGGTGGCTTTATTTAGCTGCCTTATATACTTTACATGCCGCGTTATTAACAGGGAATCTGTTCTATTCCTTCGCTAATGATTTTTTTTCAACGTCCGTCCTGAGATTTAATCCCATCAGATGTTTCATTCATTTCGATCGCGCGATCGCGACTCTACGTGCGCCGCATCGATAAGTATCAAAATTCTGGTATAAAGGTTTAAATAGATCTTAAATGCAGTTTGCGTTCACCGTGTGTTATGAAATTCTCTCCGGATAAGTTGCATTCTGAGTCATAATTGTAACATACGTTACTTATAAACCGTTTGTGCCATATTTGATGACAGTTATTCGAGTGCTAGTGATTAGCTTCTTTTCAACTTCACAAATAAAATAAATGAAATAAAAAATGATTTATATTTATAAATTAAAAAATATGATATATCTATCAATCATAAACAATAAATAATATCTAAGAAATATGAGAAAAATAATCTTAATAATTTTTTTAGAAGAAAATTAAAAACAATCTTTTTAATAAAAAATGTTTATTTATTTTCAGTATTTGATAAAGTGTATCGAGTATCATGCTACAAGCGAAATAGATGTGATTTCTCAAACAAAAATAGGTCGAAAATATACAGTAAAATTTTTTCATATAAGGTTTCATTTTCAAGAAAATTGTCTTTGAAGATCCGTTGTATATGTGTGCATTTGATTAATAAGGATCGGATCATGCTATATACAATTTCTGTTCATATTTATAGACGATGTCATGCTTTAATATATATAAGTTTAATATATATAAGTCAAAATAATAATGATTTATATCATTAAATCATAAATTGCTGAAAATGTTACTCTCTTTGTCACAAAATATTGCTCGGTGAATTAAAAAAGCGTACTGACTATTTATCAGTGTTTAATTCACAAATGCAAACATACATAATTAGGTGTAGAAAGCAGATTTTTATTGTTAATCAAATATACATATATGTATTCGACAGATTTTTAAAATGAATTTTCTCGAAAAAAAACGTTGTACGAGAAAATTTTTATTCTATATTTTTTATTTACATTAGTATGACACGCAGTTTTACTTTTTAATAACAAACATTTTAAGTACAAAACTAAGAATAAATTTTTGATTTGAAATAAATAAATAAATTATTTGAAAACATTATTACTATGTAGAGACATGAAAAAAAGATTATTTAAAATTCAAATGTAATTTTTTTCTAAAAAATGATGTCTTTTATATAATCTTTCATTGTAGTTTATCATGATAATGTATTATAGTAAAATATATAATAACATAGAGAACAATTTTGTTGCACAAGAAAAACAATTTCTTCAAATTTTTGCAAATAATAGTATTCACTCATAGAGCAAAGTTAACAAAGTTTAATTTATTCATATGTGAAGAATGTATGTGATGTCAAATATGATAGCAAGAAGCTAAATCCTTTAGAACTAAAAATTATTATATTCGTATACATTAATTTACATAAAATTATAATATATTAAGAATTTAATACATTTACATAGTATATATTTTTCTTTATTACATTTTTCTTCCGAACTAATAATGTTCTCTAAATGAAATTTTTGTTCTTCACTCATTCGTAATATCGCAGTAAAAGAGAAAAAAAAAAAGAAACCGATGTTATTATAATAGAAACCGTTAGATCGATTCCTAAAATTTGTAAGAAATTTTCATATAAAGTCATATCAGTATCGAAAATATCACGCACTGCTGTGGAAGCCGCATTGTAATTTTCCAACATTCTTTCCAGCCAGAGTTGTGGAGACATATTATTTATTTCTCAGATTATGAATATTCTATGCAAATCGAAATTATGATAGCTTTTTATTAATAACATTTATATAAATATATTGTACATAAAATCTGTGCGTGATGTTTTCAATATCTAATAAGCTTTGTGAGTTTCTAAAAAATATAATTCTAAATTGTGAATCACACACTTCTTTAAAGACATCCATCCATAATCCTACTTTGATTATGAACAGACTTGGTAGTTATATGGCCTCCACTATGCATGCAAATTGTGTCCATTAAAACAGACACAAAAAAGTTTTCATATCCATGATTGGACCGTACCTGAAGGTAGATTATGAATATTTACTGCATTCGCAAAAAATTTCACGACAAATTCTGTCTAAATGAAGATGTTTCATATACTAAATATAAATATATTATGAATCTGGAATATCCATCAATGTAACCATGAATCACAAAACCCCATCTATAAAATGAAATATAAATTAATTATATCTATAGATAACTATAAATAATTGTATAAAAGTGTATGAAATTGTATGACTAATCTATAAATAATTGTATAAAAAAGATTACAAAAAAGGAAAAGTTTGTATTAGTAAGAATACCAAAAAGAAATTATACCTTGACAATTTTAAATGTGTGTCCACATGCCATAAAAAAAATGGTGTTGCTACTTTATAAGTCCTTCTTTTAATCGCCCGATTCTATCTACTTGCAGTTTCAATTGGATCTATTGCATTCAAAGTTTATCTTATTCGATATGTTGGCATAAAAATTCCT